TGTATGTATGTTTATGTATGCATGCATGTATATGTAGACATATATATATATATATATATCTATCTGAGTGTGAGATTTCCCCTACGTGCACCCACAGCCTCAGACGCAGCTTTGTCGGCACCTTTCAGCTGGCCCGATTTTCTGCGTGCAGCCCACCGGTCTTGCATGATCCGGATTCCTTAAAGCAAATAACGCAGAGATTGCATTGGTGAGAACAGTTTCACGAAACACAAACGTGTGCATATTTGCACGCTAGCAACTAAAAGAGAGCCCAGTGCTGCCAGTGCGCGTTCCGCACTGGTAGCAGAGCTGGTGCGCGCGCTGCAATGGCCGACTCCAAAGGTGGCGCGATGACGAGATAGTTGTGGACTGGGATAGCGTTCCTCACTTTACTGGCCAGAAGCCTGAGCTCATGAAAGAGAACAGAAGGAGAGTTCTCGTCGCCTTCAACAACCAGGAGGGCTCGGGAGACGACGAAGCGAAGGAAGCCCTGAGCTTCAAGAAGAATAAGGCTCGCTTTGCCAAGCTCCTCATCGATTCGCTTCACAGCGAAGCTTGGAAGGCATGCCAGGACTGCTTGAATGACAGCACCAAGCTCAAGGCCGAAGACGGGTGCAAGCATGTGTTTGCGGTCCTGCAGTCCATCGAGAAGGTTGGCATGATAAAGAAGACCGAGGCAGGCCTTTGACTCCTTCTTCGCTACCGACGACGAGGCCAGTCGATGGACAGCTTTTTGCGCATGCGGCGCAAGAGCTGGTCGGACTTGGTGGACATGGCCGATGGAGTGACAATGTGCGAAGATTTGTTGGCTTACTTTCTCCTTCGCAATGCCGGCCTTTCCAGACACGATCGCCGCCAATGTCTCGTTTCGAACCAAAGTCACTACTCCCTGGAGGGCATCGAGAAGTCGCTTCGCATTTCCTACTTCGAAGCTCATGAGAAGGAGAAGGCCCCTGGCTGGCCCGGCGGTACGGGCAAGAAGGGCGGCAAGGGAGCAGGTCGATTGTGGTTTTGGCGGCAAGCGCAGCTACGCCCACGAGGACCACGAGGAGGACGAGGATTACGATGATGAGGAGGCCGCCGGCGACGACGAGATGGACGACTACTACGCCTTGGCCGCGGAGACCGACGAGGAGGAAGCCGATGAGGAGCCAGAGGGAGATCTCGGATGCGGGCGCCTCCGGAGATGAGGGTATCTACACGGCAGAGGTCACGTGCCAGAATTGAAGGCGGAAGCTGAGGGATTTGCGGAAGAGCCGCAGTTTTCTGCGCCCGAAGGAGCCGGGAGAGTCTGGAGACGAGCGCCAGGCCCGGATCAACAAGGAGAAGCAGCGAACCAAGCGGTCAGTGCAGCAGGCTGGGTCACTGGGCTGGAGATGCTGCGTGTCCCAAGAATGGTTCCACGGGAGGCCCGGACCAGAAGGAATAGGCCGAGGCAACAGGGCGGCAAGGCCTATGTGGTGAGGGAGTCGCCCCTCTTCTTCAGTTTGGGCGATGATGGCCTCGAGGACCAGTTCTGCAACATGGTGCACCCCGAGACGGGCGAAGGCGAAGATGAGTTTCCTTTCCCAACTGAGGCACATGTGCTTGGACCTTTGCCCCCTGGCGGTGCTTCGAGCGAGGACACGGTGCAGATGGTGTTCACCGTAAACAGGGAGAACGTCGAGGACATCATAGTCACACGCTTGGTGCAGGCCCGACCTGAATGCCTCGAGGGGCTTTGCCTTCGTGAGTTGCAGAGTGACTGTGATCGTTGGGCGTTACGGTCTCTGGGAGCAAGGCTGATGTTATTTCGCGGCTGCCGCGCTTCTAATCCGGAGGCTATGTCAGGAAGAAGGGCTTCGCCAACAGATTTGTTCGCCTCCGGGTGCAGGAGCCTCGGCGAGACCGATCTCATCTACTACCCCCGCTCGCCTCTTGGAAATGAGCGCCGCGAGTACAGCGGCCACAGCAGCGCCGCCACGAGGAGCCAAGGCTAAGTGCGCCGCACGAGAGAAGACCGCGGCCAATAAACCCCCGTGGATTTCGGAGCTGCGCTGACGTGCCCGAGGAGAGGATCGAGCGACCCCGGCTGGCGTGGCAGTGGGCCAAGTGGTCCCCGAGATTACTAGCATGGTTATGGCATGGTTCTTCGCCGACGCTGTAATGGCACGGATTTCTTCTTCGGTTGCAGCAACTTTGCCTCTGCGAAGTCTTGCCTGTTTGCTTGTTTGCGTACAACGTGGACGAAGAGGTGTCGGTGCCTCAAGGGCCTCCCTACCTTAGCGAGGCCAAAAACGAGAGCAGAGAGGATTTCACCCACTACGGGCCCAAGCCAAGCCGCAGCCTATGTGGTGGAAGTACCCGAAACGAATTCAGGGAACTTTCGCTGTGCGTTTGCCGAGTCGCTTTGGAGTTTGAATTCAGGTTTGCCTTGATGACGGAGGTTAGCGTTCCAATAAGGGCGTGGGTGAATCCTTTCTGGCCTTGAATTGGTGGACGCGGTCTAGTCGAGGACCTGATGATCTACTATGCCGAGGAGGCGCCGTGTTCTAGCTTGCTTCGCCCACCTAGCCGAGGACAGCGCTGCGCCGAGGACCGCAAACGTTGAAGGGCCCGACCTCCAACCTCGCGGCGTTCGTTCCCAGGACAAGATAGGACAGCTGACGAGACGGGGGCAGCCAGAAGACAGCGACAACAACGTTGCCGGACATGGGCCCTGCGCCTTGGGTACAGCGTGGCCGAGCAGTGGTCGACGGAGGGCGACCAGAGCACCCTGCTCCACGAGCCGTTCGGAGAGGACCTGGTTGTCAGTTGTAACGACAGCGGGGCTGGGCTCTTCTGGACAAACTCGAAGCCTCCTGCCACTGTGGACGGTGACGACCTTGGCCAGGAGAGTGGGCGACAGTTGGCCGAGGATGTACTTGACCAACATCGGCGCTACTTGCTCCTCTTTGCCTTTGGCTGGCGGATGCAGGCAGCCAGTCACAAAGCACCGCGGGCGCTCTTGAAGCAATCCGTGCACTTTTGTCGTCATCGGGTGCCGTGGCAAGTTTATCGCCGTCTTGGCCATGATCTCTTTGGATGGCTTCCCGACTAGGCCGAGGGCGGCGATCGTCAGTGTTGCTTGAGCAAGGTGCACCCCGAGACCGGCGAGCCTGTTCGGGGTGATTCAGCAATTCAGGCGTGGTCTTGAACCAGGTGTGCCGACAATGCCGCTGCGGACCCCGCAGCAAACGACGTCACCCACTACCGCCCTTGCTTTCGGAGCCGACCTTCCTAGGGCTCCTTCCGGACAGGTACGTACCCAGCCGAGGGCAAGGACATGAGATGGACTCTGGAGATGCCGACCTTGAGGAGCCGTGCAATTTCGGTTCCATTCTGGCTGCGGGCCAGAATTCTGTTGCAGTTACAGGATGGCACGCGCAGGGAGCATGAGCTGGCGCCAGGCTTCATGGCATCATCGCCGCCTTTAGGCATGGATTTCCTCTGGGCTGGAGAGCGAGCTTTTAATTGAGCCAGGCAGTGGCAGAGCGCAAGAGCGCAACAAGCCCAGGAATCACGAGACGACAGGGTCCCCTTGACTTTACATGTTTCAGCAATGCGACTCGGCCGTTTATGTCGTGCGTGACTGCGAAGCTTTGTGTGTGTGTGTGTGTGTGATGTGTAGCTTTTGGGTCAAGCAGGGAATGCAATCCTCCACGGATCCATTTGCCTTTCTTCGTGTGGGCTCGAGTCGCTGAGGCTTCCACGCAATCTCGGTCACTGCACCAGGTGCTTTCATGAGCCATCGCTCATCACCCGGGGACTCTGAGTTGAGAATTGAAGCCGAGGCTTTGTGGGACTTGGTGGTGAGACTTTCTGCGCCAGCTACCCCACTTTCCGAGCGCCCTGCAACATCCGGAAGGAGTCAGGCCTGGCCCAGTCCTACGCCTTCTTCTCCAGGTGTCGGTGTGCCTACTTCCGGTTCTTTATCTTGGGGTGAGCGGGAGGAGGTGGCTCGTGAGATCGGGATGTTTGTCGTTCGGAATCGTGGCTCTTCGGGTCGCAGCCGGATTGATTTCCGACTAGGGTCTATCTCATTTTCCGTGACAAGGACGGATACATTGCGGCTGGTCCGTGTGGAACATTCATTCAGGGCCGTCAGGACGGCTTGCTTCTTCGGTGGGCAGGCCGCTGCTCAAGCCGTCAGCTGAGTGTGGCTTCCGTTGGAAGTCGAAGAAGCTCGCCTGCGGGCGAGCCTTGTACCCTGGCTGATTTTGCGATTCAGTACGGCCCGGAAGTTATGTATACTTATCCGATCGGTGTCTGAGTCTGGTCGGTCTGAGACCATCGCCGCCATCCTTATTGGGGTTCTGAAGATTGCTTCCCAGCCAAAACATGGCATCGCAAAGCCGACCAGCGAGCTCTGCCAGCAGGGTCCTTCGGGAAGCCGCTGAAGTGTATGTGACGGTGCCGGGTCTGTCTTTGTCTATTTGGCGAAGACATCGACGAGCACCAGCAGCGACAAGCGGATGGCCATCGAAGGCGCACTCCTGAGGGAGACGGTGCGCAGGCCAGGCGCGCATGTGCGCTGGATTCATGGTCTGATGTGCCCGGACTGACCTGACTTCGCTGCAGACTGCGGAGAACATGAAGGAGTTTGCAACGGCGAAACAAAGACAAGCACGGTGCAGCGCAGGCCACCCAGAAGTGTGAGATTTCCCCTATGTGCACCGACAGCTTCAGACGCCGCTGTGCCGGCACTTTTTTCAGCTGGCCCGAGAGTCTCGAAGGTTGGCATGCAGCCCGGAAGTCTTGCATGATCCGGTTTGCTTGTTGCAAAATACCCAGAAATTGCATTGGCGAGAACAGTCTCACGAAACACAGACGTTTGCATGCTAGCGACCAGAAAAGAGCCCAGTGCTGCCAGTGCGCGTTCCACACTGAGCATATATTTTCATAGGTAACGATGTCGATATAAATATACCTATAGATATAAATACGGATGGACAGACAGCCAGGCAGGCAGGCAGGCAGGCAGGCAGACAGACAGACAGCACAGAAGAAATAGACAGACACAGACACAGACACAGACACAGACAGAGACAGAGACACATACAGACATAAGACATTGACATAGCGCAAGCTACCCAAGGCCATCTGTTTCTTCACGTGCGGCAGGCAGGACTTGGCACACAAAGGTGAACAGGTCATTCAGTACGGCTACGCGCCAAGTTTAGGGTGGTCGTCGTGCAATTGGAATTGCTTTGGACCTGTTGCAGGTGATGGGCTGATCCAGCCAGCGACATGTTTCCGGTGTCACAGGACGGAGAAAACGTGCGAGTGGTATCGTGACGGGACACGGGAGAACTGACCAGGCTTGGGTTGTCATGACATCCGGGACGAGTTTTGGCATGATTTGCGAAATTGCATGATGTTTCATGCTATCATGTATTAACGTGTGGAAACCAATGCCACCTGCTTTTGGGTGAGTCCGGCAAGCAGCGGCCTGCAGCAGAGGAGAAACACTTGAATACCAGAGGCCGTCTGGCCGCTTAACAGGTTTGTTGACCATGCTCTCAAGGGGGTCGCTTGTGCTGTGGTGTCAGCGCGGTGGTTCCTGAGTCATGCGCTACACTGCAGCTCGGCTCGTGTGACAGTTTTGACTTTGTTTGCTCTCTTTCGTCGCCGCCTTAAGCGATTCCTTCGTGACCGCCGTTTGGCTGCCGAGCCTAATAATCGTCGTCGCCTCTTTCATGGGACGAATGTGGTCGGGTGCTATCGCCAGGACTTGTTGTTGATTGGGGCAAGGCCTGGTTCCGCGTCGGGTTTCGGATTCGAGCCGGGCAGGTTCCGGGGTTCAGGTTCGTTCCGAGTGGTTTCCGGGTTCTTATTGCGTCCAGCTCCGCATGTTGTCGTGAGCCTTGCCAATCGATCGCAAATGATAGCGAATCTCAAACCTTTGATATGCGCACAAGCTCCACAAAGCCTGCTAAACTCATTTGGCTTTCATTTTAACAAATCTGGAGGGGCGCACAACTCTTCGTGAGCCTTTTTAAATTTTTGATTAAAAATCGCGCGCGCGTGACCCGAAATTTTAATTGAACATGCTTTAACTTGATTTCCAAACCGAAATATATAAATTTCAAGGCTTGGTAAATATACTTACAACTATTTCAATTTTGTTGGTATTCTTGATATCAATCTTCGAATCTAAATCGAATTTTCGAAGCCTCCGATCAAATCCAAATCTAGTTTTCTGAGATATACTAAATGGGGAATATAAAGATGTATTAGGTTCGTATAAAGAAGCGCCGAGCTCGTATATGAATAGAAAACATGGAAATAAGAAAAAATCGGGAGCGTTAGAGAAGAAATCTAGAATACAAGAAAATTTCATATCTTTATTTATATTATAATGAATTGATTTTATAATATTTAAGTAATTTTAAAATACTTATGATCTATATTTTTTTAATGAAATACTACGATTATTATTAAAAAAATAATTTAAATATAAGATTATATACATATATATATAATTTATTCTTTGCTTTCGATAATTAAATTCATTCTTTAAGAATATGATATTCCTTGAATTGATATGATTCTATCTAAACATATGAAAATTTAGCTTGTAAATACATTATATCATTTATTCATAGATATTAAATTTTTATGAAAATAAATTGATTTTGGAAGAAATAAGGCTTTCGATTACGAAAATTTTTAATTAGATTTTTTATATTTAGATTAAAAAAAATAATCTTATTAAGATATAAAATAATTTTAAATGTTTAATTTAGGAATCGAT